ACATGCTCGTTGCAGGCTCAGACATGCAAGAGATTATACACTTGAAGCAAAAATTGTCGAAGCAGTTTGCTATGAAGGATCTGGGCGCTGCAAAGCAGATTCTTGGGATGAGGATCAAGAGAGACACAAAGTCGGGGACTTTGATGTTATCACAGGCTGAGTACATCAACAAAGTACTCTCCAGGTTCAACATGCAAGATGCTAAACCAGTAAGTACACCTTTAGGTGTTCATTTCAGACTCTCCAAAGACCAATCACCAAAGACGGAGGAAGAACGTGCACACATGGTGAAGGTGCCGTATGCCTCAGCAATTGGAAGTCTGATGTATGCCATGGTTTGTACCAGACCAGATATTGCTCATGCAGTGGGAGCTGTTAGCAGGTACATGAATAATCCGGGCAAGGTACACTGGGAAGCAGTCAAATGGATCCTCAGATATCTTCGGGTACCACAAACAAAGCACTTTGTTTCAAAGGTGGAGATATGATACTGACAGGCTATGTAGATGCTGACTTAGCCGGAAATGTCGACATCAGAAGGAGCACTACAGGGTATGTCTATACTCTAGGAGGAACTGCAGTGAGTTGGGTTTCTCAACTACAGAAGATAGTTGCTCTCTCCACAACTGAAGCAGAATATGTCGCTGTTACGGAAGCCAGCAAGGAGATGGTTTGGCTCCAAAGTTTCTTGGAAGAGTTAGGCAAGAAACAAGAAAACAATATCTTGTATTGCGACAGTCAAAGTGCTATTCATCTAGCAAAGAATCCGTCTTTTCATTCCAGGACAAAGCACATACAATTGAGATATCATTTTATCCGGTCTCTTCTGGAAGATGGGATTTTGAAACTTGAAAAGATTAGTGGAGCTCAAAATCCGGCAGACATGTTGACAAAGACGGTGACTACGGATAAACTGAAGTTGTGTTCAACTTCAGTTGGCATGCTAGAATAACAAGACCAGACATGCTGCTGCATTGATCGAGGTGTGAAGACATATTAAAATCAGTCTTCAAGTGGGAGATTGTTAAAAGTTTCAAAGTTTGGCAACCAACTTTGGAAAATGTTTTTTTTTCAAAGTTTGGTAAATGTTTCTTTGAAAAATGTTTTTCAAAGTTTGGTAAAATTTTGGTAGATGTTTGTTGAAAATAGGAATGGGTAAATTCACTTTAGTCATTGCACTTTAGGGTATTTTCAAAGATTAGTCCCTAAGTTTCTACTATAAATACCCTTACCCATTTAGCTTCAAAATCATCCCAAAACATTTCTTTCTTCCTATACTAGAGAGCTTTCTTGTGAGTAGTGAGTGTTTTGTAAACACCTGTAAATTTTCTCTCTTAGTAAAAGATCTGCAGCAGCCCGGAGACGTAAGCACAATTGGCTGAACTCCGTTATCAATTTTCGGGTATTATTTTTCCACTTTTATTTCGCATTCTCACTAATCTGGTTATAGGGAAATTACTTGTACTCGGTTTATTTTCCCAACAATATAATCAAAAAAATAAAATTGGGGCTTAAAAAATCATAACAAATGATGTCATTTGGTTTAATTTTTTTAAAAAAATAATCCCACGTGGCTAAGAAACATAAAAGAGCATCCCAAAAGTTTAAAGAGTAAAAATATGAGAACAAAACAATCCCACATGGCTAAGAAACATAGAAGATCATCCCAACTTACTTCTATAAATAATATAAGTAATTTGACATTCAAAATCATAGAGCCTTTTGGTGAGCACAGAGCGAACTATTCTTTCGCTTCAATTGAGCTCAAATTTTATGCTTCAATCGAACTTCTAATTTTTTTTTGAGTTCAAGCCTTTTTGAGTTCAAGTTTTAATATTATATTTCGAGTTCGAGTTGAACTTGATAATTTTTAGCTCGTGAGTTTTTGAGTCGAGTTGAGCTTACTTTTAAAGTTTTCGAGTTCGAGTCGAGCTCAGCAATACTTGAATTTGACTTGGCTCGTTGAACAAACGACGTCGTTTGGTTTAATTTTTTTAAAAAGAAAAAAAGTGAACTATTAGTTCAAACCGATTTTGTCGGTTTTCAGTCGGTTCACCTTGATTTTACCGATTTTCAGTCGGTTCATTACCAGCTCGGTTTTGTGAGGTAACCGGACCGGACAGACTACCGGTTCACGGTTCAATCGGTTGAACTGACCAGTCCGGTCCGGTTTTGATAACCATGTTACAAAGCACAAAGAAATACACATAAAACAAAAAATACATAAATATTTGTCTGATAATCATATTATTTAGTAAAAATATTGCTCAATAGAAAATGTCGATATTATAGGTTAGCATATGTCATTTATGTTGTAAGTACTATTGAAAAGTTATATAACTTTATGCTTCTTAATTTTCATTTTTTATAAATAAATAAGTGTTTTTTTTTATAGAAACCACTAGTTTTATTCAAAATAAAAAGTATTCCAATTACAATAAAGAGTTACTATCATAATTGTAAATTAAGCATATAATTAGGATAATTTTCTATAATAATCGAAACAAAACTAGCAACTTAAGATCACATAAGGACTATACAAGGAAAAATTAAAACCTAATCAAGAAACTTGAACAAAGATAGATATAAACATATATGATCGCATCGACAAACGAAATACAAAAGGGGATCAAGCTACTTAAAGACTACCAACAAACCGTAAATCAGATTCGAGTGACGTGAAAAACTATCCATGAACGATATAATTAGGGAAATAATACATACAAGAATTTTTTTTGAAATATAGATGTGGTTGAGAATTCTTTTGTGATCTAGACTACTTGTGCATGACGAATTTCATAAAATATATTAAAAATTAGAACTCATCTCGTGGGTTTGACAAATTACATGCAATTTTGTTTCATATCATATGATGAGTTATAATTTTTAACATATTTTATGGAACTCGTCACGACCACTGTAGTAGATGGTCTAGTTCCCAAAATAAATTTGAAGGTGCCTTATTTTGCTAATTAATTATCTTGCTTTCATTATTTGCCTAATTTTACCATCCATGAACGCATAATGGATATTCAAATCCAATCCGAGGGTCCAAATGAGGGAAGATCAATAATAATAGATAAACATCATCTTAATTAGTTGTGATGATGTCAAATCAACTCATAGAAAAAGATAATGAAAACAACGATCAAATGATCGAAAAAACCATATCGATAGGAAAAACGTGTCATACAAATAGACTTATTGAAAATTAAAAAAAAACAAAAGAAATAAAAGGATAATAAAGAATATCGGTAGTCGACAACCAACATTAAAGTTAATATCGTTGTCGATCAATAAAAATGAAAAGAAATAGAGATGAGCGACATACCAACGAGAGAAAACTCTAAAATTAATAAGAAAACCAAATAAATACTATAGGATGACCAATTCATTATTATACATTGACACTTGTAATTAGTGATCAAATTATTATATTTTAAATTTTAAGAGACTAAAATGATTCATTTATAAAGTTTGGGGATGCTTGTGTATTTAATACTAAAAAGCAGTTAATGACGTCAGTTATCCTTTGACTACTTCTCTCTTTCTTTAAACCTGCATCTCGCTCTTCCTCTACCACCTCTCACTCTTTCGTTTTTTTTATTTTCTTTCACTTTATCTCTGAATTTTCCTTTTTATCTCTCACTTTCTTGCCGTCCAAACGGGTAAAAGAAATAAGAAACAATAAGAGATGATTTGTACATTACGGTTCCGAGTCTTTTCAGGTGTTCGATATCGCTGGACGTGATGAAATCCCCAGTGAGCTTCTGCACCGCCGTAACTTACGACCGAACCAGCATCCAACCGTGGCTAGACAGCGGCAAAAACACGTGTCCGGCCACAATGCAAGTTTTTCAAAGCAAAGAATTCGTTCCTAAGAGGAATTTACAGATCTGGTTCGACTCGGTTGCTCGGCGTCAAGTCGACGCCGAATTGGCAGCGGCCAGCTCAGTCGTTCCTTCTCAAGATCAGGTCAAACTCTTGGCCAAACAACTTGATAGCAATTGTTTTTCAACGTTAACGAAGATTGTTTCTTTCGCGAGAGAATCGGAGGAGAATTGCGAATTTCTCGCAAGAATGGAGTATAAATGAATTTAGCTTAAATTAATAAGTTTATGTTTATTTATCTATTTTTTGAAGGTATTTATATTTAATTAGTGTTTATTTAAATTTTTAATAACATATTCGTATTCGTTTTTTTATTTTTAACCATTTAACGTTTATTTATGTGTTTGAGTTTTCAGTTTGACTGTTTTATTTGCAAAAAAAAAAAATGGTAAAATTATAACACTAGTACTTAAACTCTTTAAGATTCACAATTTAAACTTTAAATTTCATCATGTGTTCAATTTAATCTCTATTTCCACCAATATTTAAAATATAAAAATTAAAAAAGGAGAACCAGATAAATGGCTTCTAAAAGAGTCATTAAACATGTTTGTTCATGAATATAAATTAAAGAGTCAATAAATGAGTTTATAAGCCAATATAAACAAACATAAAACATATATATTCATGTTCGTTCATTTATTAAATGAACATAAAAATTTGTTCATACTAATTTATTAAGCTTAATTAACGAATATTATATTAACACATTTTTTACTCCATTATCCTTTCTTACTAGTATCTTCTCTTATACCTCATATGCAACGATTTCTTCGATAGCTAGTCATTGCTGGTGCCTCGTCTTTGGATTGATCCGTTTGGTTTTGTATTTTTAATGAAACGATGTTGTTTCTCAAAATCCCTTCATCTAAACCCTACGTATGGGTTGAATATGACAAATTATTTGATGGAGTCCGCTCATCATGTCATTCATGATCTATTAATTTTAAAATAACTTTCAAATAACTGCTCATTTATTATTGACACGTAGAAAAGAGGTAAAATTTTAAATTAAAAAAATGAGATGACAAAATATTATTAATCAGGATCACGAATGACGACGTAGGGAGCCGAATCCATCTAATAATTTTTTGTTGGTTATAGATATTATTGAGCAATACAATTATAGTTAATATGGGAAAAAGAATCAAGACGATGATGGAATCCATTGATCTCCTTGAATGAAATTTTGGACTGAATACGTATGTACATGTTGGGATGGAATTTCAGAACTCCATGCAACTCTTTTCGACCGATCGGATCCTGGACCGGTATTCCCAAATTCACCAAAGAAGAGTGTCTTCAAAGCAAAGTCACCATCCCATGGCATCCATCCATCCGGATGAATAATATCTTCCATAACACAGTTTATATAAACAATCCTCGAAAACTCCTTCCATGGCCTTCCCAAATAGTTCCTGTGCACTTTGGGATTGCTACGGTAGAATCTCATGTATTCATTGGTTCCATCGATGGAGCAGTTTTGGAAAACCAGACCAGTTGACTGAGCAGGATCTGTTCGACCGAGAGCTGCGATCGCATTGTTGGCACCTTTCTCGGGGTTTAACTGCCGGGGAGCAACCAAGATTTCGCAATCCTGGAACACCGAGGCCGAGTTCCCGAAGACGAAATCGACGTTCCCCTGAATACGGCACTTGTTGTAGAACTGGCGGAGAGAGAGAGCAAAGACAGTATCTTGGTTGCCTATGAATTCACAGTTTTCAAGGACGGAATGATCACTGTCTGATCGGAAGGCCACTGCTTGGTGCACATCGGGGCCTGCTGTGTTCCTGATTGTGAGGCCTCTTGCCATGAATCCATCACCACTAATTCCTGCAACAACCAAATCACATTAGAAGTTTAAGCAAAAGGAAGAGGAGAGGATGGTTATGGTTGTTACTCACCGACGGTAGCAGAAGTAATAGTGGAGACTCCATGCATCTTCACGTTTAAAGAACCGGTAATAATGGTTTTACCCATTCCATCACCCAAAAACACCACATTTCTCTTCTCAAACGGCACCCTCACCGTTTCTTCGTACACACCTTCCTTTATATATATCACGAAACGCCGTGTACTCTCTGGATTGTCCGGTGCGGCGTTCACGGCCTCTTGCACCGTCTTATAATCCCCTCCGCTGCCGTCTTTACTCACCGTTACATCCGGCTTCATGTTCGACGGTACACCGCCTTTAGACCGCAGCTCCGTCCCACCCGACACCTTCTCGTAAAACCCGTCCCGTTCCGTCTTGGGAGGGACCCATGTGGAGATGTCCTTGCCGTAATTATCGTAAGCCACTATCATGCTCAACGCGTTGCTAGTGTGTCGCGTCAATTCGTCCAGGAACGCCATCGTTTCGTCGATCAGTTTGGTGTCGTTCACGTACTTGAGCGCGTTCCAACAGGTGTAATGGTAGACAAGGGCGGCGCTCATCCATGCACGAGCGTCCTTGATCTTTCCTCGAGTCAGGGAATCATTCGTCGACCTGATGCGGTAGTCGGAGTAATAAAGGATGTCCACACAGGCGGTGGCGGCGGTGGTGCGGTTCAGGTTGCCTTCCGAGGACTCGAGGATGGATTTCACCATGGACTGTCCCGTTTTGAGGTTATCGTAAGAAACGGAAAGGGCTGATCGGATGAAATCGAGGGAGGTTGGATTAGCCGGGAGAAGGGAAGTTTGCGAAAGGGAGGTCTCGCAAAGCCATGGGAAGCGCGTGGATTTGCATGCAAGGCGGATATTGGAGTAGTTTGAGGAGGAAACACAGAAACCGTGAGCTCCCTGTTGTAGGTTTTGAACGCAGTGGCGGGTGGTAGACGATGAAGTGCAGAAAAAACAGAAGGAAAGAAGGGAAAAGAGAAGAAAATCGGACATGGATACTGATGGAAACAAGGGAGTTGAGGATATATATGCATATATAGTAATCTATATAACTAAACAAGTGAAAAAAATTATTAGATAATCACGACTTATCACGTTATTCGTGATTTTAATCAATAATATTTATTCATATTACTTTTTTTAAGATGAATATTCTTCATCTCATTCCTACATATAAATATGAAGAAACTAATTAAATAGAAATAATTTTAAAATTTATAGTTCTCATTCATTAGGACTACGAATGATACAACGAGCCGGATCTATCGTAAAAAAAAATGGAGGTTTGAACTTGTATTTGGGAGGTGATCAGTACCTGAAACGACGTTCAATATAAACTGATCGTACGTAATTTTCGGTTATAGTTTCACATATAACATCACATAATGATATTTTGACATAGTCATGAGTTAATGTACTCCTAGCCCTAGGTAGTGATATCTAAAAAAATATTTTTTGAGGATAGATATATATTAATAATATTAAATATTTATACATATGAATATTAATAAAATTTTAAAATAAATAATAATTTTAAAAAAAATTCAAATTTTAGGATAAATTTCCACAGCTCAAGCTCCTGGATACCATATCACACGCAACCCTTCGTAAGTTTATATGCTTTTGATGTCAAACGCATGTTCTAAGTAGCAATCTAAAGATTATTTTCTTGTGCGGAAGATGATGTTCTATCCATGCTGGAAGCTTTCACTGAAGTTGACAATTCAAATAGTTGGTGCCTTTGAATAAAGATTGTCATGAAACACACTCTTTCAGTTGTAGAATTTGATATGTCTGCACTTTTTTTTTCCATTTTAGGGAATAATTACCAGTTTTCTTAGCAGGAGTTTGGTTTGAGATAAAAGTTTGTAACACTTGCATTTGAGATACCTTGTGTCTGTTTGATTTATCATCTTATGTCCTCGTGCTCTTGTGTAATGGAATTTAGAGTTTAAACAAGCAATGATTGGTTCTACGTAACCGACATATCATCCTCATATAATGTTTTGAATGTATGCTGTGAAATTGATGATTCGTGTGTTAGATTTGGACAGAATTATGAGATGGCAAGTAGAAGCAACATTGAAGTTTGTGTTGTCCTGGGAAGTTGTGTCGTGCGATAATATTTTTAGTTGACTGTAACTTTAATTTTCTAATATTTTCGGTTTATTTTTTATTAAACCGAAAATATTATGAACAACGTAATATTTTTTATTGTCAAATGAAAGTGTTATGAAGGTGTGTAACTAAAAAATATTAAGAAAAAAATTAACATTTTAAGTTATAATTAACTGAAGATGTTATTTTAATATTTTTATTTTACATTTCTTTAGCCTTAAATTAGACAGACAACTATATGTTAGAATTTTTTTTTTAATTTTCTAAGGGGAGCATCCTAAGAACCTGATGAGGGCCTTAATTATTTTTGTATTTATAATTAGGATCTCTAAATTTTTATATTTATAGTCAGCCCCCAGTTTTTATAATTTCATAAAATTTTTAGTTTTTAACCTTTTTTCCATTTCTCTTATTTATTCATTCAATTTTGAATTGCATTTAACCGATTTTTATATTTATAATTAGGGCCCCTAATTTTTATATTGTCATAAAAATGTTTAGTTTTTAGCCTTTTTTTCCATTTCTCTTATTTATTCATTCATTAAATTTTGAATTAAATTTAATCATGTTTTTCTCTTTTTTTCAAATCTTACTCTTCAATTTATAAAATATTCTTTAATTTTTAGTCTTCTTCATTCTCAATCTAACAATAAAATAGTATACAATTCTTTTTATTTATTTATTATTCAAAATTAAGCTATGTATTATACATGCATTCAATTTTTTATATTTGTTCTCTTTTAATTGTATTTAAGGTGTTTTTTTAATAAAATAATATATTTTTACAAATTAAATCATTTTTAATAATTTATTAATGTAATATTGAATTAATTGTTCAAATTAATGAAATATACTTTTATTTTATTAAGACATGTTTTTAAGTCCTCGCTTAATGTCCCGAAAATACATGGGACGGCTCTGGTTTGTAGAAACATTATTGTGGGTTCAATCTTTGACGTTGCTATTGGTTTTATATGTCAAAAACTTCACTTTCTGCGCCTCAAACTAATAGGTGACCTTTGCAAGCTTGAATAGTTAAAATCTTCTTTAAATTAAGTTAAAATAAGCTAGTAAATTACATTAAAATATTTTTTAATTAAAAACTATGGAGTAATTATTAAATTTATTTTTTTCTATAAATAATAATTATATATCATAAAATAGTGATAAATTTAAAGATTGATTTATAATAGTTTGATACAATTTAAAGATTGATTTTATAATAATTTAATTTATCTTTTGAACATAGTTTAGTAAAATGGTGTACTTTACCCTTTTATATTTCAGTAATCGACAAATTTTCACTTTCCATGAAATGAGAATTCTTTCTTAAAAAAAATAGGAAAAAATAGTATTATTAAAGTTCCAATAGTGGATAAGGTAGAGCTCATTCCGAACCTGTCGGCAATTGAAAATCAAGGAGGCTCAGCCGGGGCAGGACGTGGACTGCCAATGGTTCTAACTCCGGCAGCCTTTTGACAGCCCAGAATTTAGGTGGCGCCGCTACAACATCGATGACTAAAATATTCCCATCACTAAAAATCACGCATAGTCTTCCGCCACGGGCGGTCATTTGGTGTGCTCCTCTTAGACGCGATCTCCATTATCGCCTCCCAATTTCGCTTTCTTGGCTATACCTTGTGAGTACTCCCTTTTCTTCGTCAACGGTGTATAGAACCTCCTCGTCCATGGCGGTGACGGGCCCTCTCCAACCGGCCACCATCCCTTCCGGCATCATTATCGTCATCGTAAAGAACCCCTCGTTTCGCCACATTCACCATACAAAGCTTCCACTGCCAACCTACGGCATCGATGGCGTATCTGCTGAATCTCTGTCTTTCAGCTGTCTCATCTTCTTCCATCCGAAATCATCCAAGTCCCACTTCCCCAATGACCTTGCTACGTTGTTGGAGAATATAGACCCAATCCCACTGGTAATGTAAACGGCCAGACCCAACGCCCTTGGCGCACACCAACGGCGTGGCGACTCCATCGGAAGACCCAAATGTTAGAAATTTTGATTTCTAATATTGATTCATATAATTTAAGTAATTGATAGTTGATGTTGTTGTACACACGGTGATGATTAGTATAGTATTGAGGAGACAATTATCAGATATAAATTCATCTATCCCATTTCATGAAAATATAAGTTTAAATGATGTTATGTGTAACTAAAAGTAGAGGGGTATTTCAGTTATTTTGTCATTTTCGTTATTTTGTGATTTAAAAAACATAGCGAAATTAGTTTTTTAAAAGCTCACTTAATTGACAATTATTTTTTAAGGCTCTTTCTTTTTCTCACTTAAAAAGAAAACAAAAACACTATATGTTTTTTGGGTTTTGATTATTTCATCAAGAAATAAACAAGTCTTGATATCATCACAAGGTGAATTGAGGATTATACAGTATTGAGATTGTATAACATTTATTATTTCTTGCTTTATGAAATCATCAAATAAATTTTCATTTATTTTACTGTAATTTTTAATAATTATGACACGAGTTTGATTTGGTTGATTTACTTACCCTATCAAGATTTTTATGTGTTAATTGATTCCGCATGCAAGATTAATTGATTTTAACATTTAGTATCAGAGTCAGGTTTGATAGGAATTAAATCACCAATTTAGGTTTCATAAGAAATTTGAGTATTTTTCTTATTAAAAGTTTCATAAAAAAATTGGGTATTTTCTTATTAAATATTAATATTGAAGTTATAAAATAACAATTGATTATGATATTGACGTTAGATTGATTATTAATTGATAAGGAATAATGATATGATCCTGGTTTGATGGTGAATGGCGTTGTTGTTACATGTAGAGTTAATGCCATTGCCGTGGCAAGTGAAGTTGTCGAGGCAAGTAGAGTTAACGGACGTTGTCGTGGCAAGTGTAAGATCACATCAAATAATTTTGGATCATTATTTAAATCTTTAATATTTTAGTGAGTGTGTTAGTCACCAAGTGGCCCACTCGAAATTCATTAAATGATATATTATGTTTATAGATGTTTATTTGATGTAGCATTATAAATGACATTTAAGAATAATAAACATTTATTGTTATTAATATGTAGTTATATGATTACCCAAACGTAGATCTTACTCATGGTTAATAACAATTGGAGTAGGTTATGAATTTTGTTTAATTAATATATAAATTACATCTAAATATGTCTTGTATGTTAAAGTAAACTTAATGATTGATCTTATATATGTTATAAGAATGATGCATGTTTGATGATTGTTGGTTGTGTTTAAATTTAACCCAAAGTTGAATTTAAATGCAATGTTTTGGTATATATTATAGTATGAATTATGGTTTAAATTCAAAGCAATTAATATGTAAGATGTAAATGTTTGCAGTAGTCTCTACTATGTCAAATATTACTGCCAATAGTATCAAGATTAATGGGTAGAACTGTGATGATTGGATCGAATATGTCAAATTAAATGCTGGCCTTTTGGGACTCGATTTAGCTATAGTTATGAATGAGCCCACTAAACTGACTGATACTAGTCCGGAGGCAGACAAGAAACTGTGGGAGAACTGGGAGAGATCAAATAGGCTTATGATGAGCTTTCTTAAACTTAGTATAGTGCCTAATATTAATCTTTCCCAACCTAAGACTGAGAATGTGAGAGATTTTGTGGCTGAAATTAAGAAGTGTACTATGACATACATTGTAGATAAGTCTGTTGTTGCTGCTCTTATTGATGATTTATCTAATAGAGAGTACACTATACCTCAGTCAATGAAAATCACATTACTCACATGGCGAATACCTACAACAACTTAAAAGTTTGGATATGGATCTTGGTGAGAGTGTGTTGGTTGAGTTCGTGCTTAAATCATGTAAGGGTGATGATT